TATGTATATATATATGTACGGTTTTACATACTTTGCGGTTAAAAAAGTATCATTTTTCCACTTTCATCTAAAATCGGTTGACCTTGATCATCGGTACATATTAAGTAGTTATCTATATTTATCTATAAATAACAAATAAAATAATAAAATTTTTACATAATAAAGAAATTTCATTTAGCACACTAATAGCCCAATACTCAATGCTCTAACCTATACAAACGTAAAAATTAAGTCCATAAATGCCAAATTTAAGAGTTCAGTGCGTGTTTATAGGTTAACCTCAATTGAAAGCCTAACATAACTTACCGATTCTAAGATAAATACAACATAAAATAGATATGTAATATGTATTGTTTATATTTTTTCGTGTTAATTTGGCGCGTATTTCCAACTTATCAGAAATTTAAAATCGGTATCTGCTTTATTGCTACGTACAGCGTGGTATCAACCAACTATGTACCAAAACGGCTAGCCCCACCTCTACCACTAACGACCAAACACACAAAAACGTTCTGGTACAGTTTGGTACACTTTGGTTGCTATACCAAAAGCACGCCAAAATTCGCCTCATATGAAAATTGAATTTGTGTGAAAATACAAAGTCCGCAATTAGGGATGAAGAGTATATAACTTTCCAAAATATTACTGTCACAAAATTTAACCATACAATTAAAAATAAATCAATTTAATGCTCAGCATTTAACATGGATGTCATATATTTAAATAATAATTTAAAACAATTGAAGTAAGAAAATCTGTAACAACATTTTTACAATATTACAGTAGTGATAAACGTGACCTTTGTAATAAAATTGTAGCTCAGAGCTAAATAATGGGATTTGTTCCGACCGGTAGGGGTCGACAGAAGTAGAGACTAATCAGAGTCTAGCCACCTTCTCCTCGGTTTGTAATTGGTCCGATATTTTTCATCCATTCCATTTAAAAGCATAATGAAAATACATTATGCTTTTAAATGCATGATGCATGGCCATGGATTTGCTGTCGTAATATTTATGATTAGAGACTACTAAATTTTTACGTTTTTTAAATTTTAATCATAGACCTCTGTTACACGGCACGCTTAATCGGGTTTAATAACATCCGTAGTTATGAAATTGACGAATCATAGCTTTTCGTCGGGAGAATGGAATGATTGTGATTGGCCAGTTTCATAACTACGGATGTTATTAAACTCGATTAAGGGTGCCGTGTAAATGTAGTCATAGTCACCAGTTAGTCGCCTGAATGTGTCAGTTCGTTCGTCAAAAACTATGAAGCTTATAGGGCGTCTCTATAGAGCTGTAGAGTACCTATTTTGGTGATAGGGTGTCGAATAGTCGAGCAAAACAATTTTGTTCTGTGTATCGAATATCTATTTTATTATTCGGAAGCGATTACAGCATGTCTGTACAAGTTGAAATATCGCAGCAAACTCGTTGACCTTTTCTTCTTGAGACACGTTATCGCTAAACCTTCTCTTCTTCGAGATTCTTCTTCTAACACCTAAATACGAAATCCATAGACGTTGCTGAAGACTCGAGATGGTCTTAAGCTAGTGCTTGAACCAAATCAGAGAGCCGTATTAGCATCTTAAGGGGGGATCCTAGTCTAGAGCGCTAAGAAATAGGGCAAATTTAGGAATTTTTTTTTAACTATGACTCCTAAAAACTTTAAATTTTAGGGGCATTTTTATACATATTTATTAGTTAATTACAAATTGTTTCAAATGATTTTATTAAGATTTGTCCGAGATATACGCCATATTGCACAAGGCGTTTCGTGTAACCATAATTTGTCGTTGACATTGTAGAACCCATTCAAACGATCTGAAACAAAAAAGTAAGATATATTTTCATATGTTATTAATTCCTCTTCTGTGTAAACCTTGCTCCGGGTAAAAAATTACAAAATTTTTTTAAGTAAAACTTGTTTTAAAAAAGATTTAATTTTTTTTTCTTTATTTCTTCGACACGTTTTTAACAAAAAAAAGAGTATTATTAACATTTTATTAGGTTTACACAAAAGATATAACAGTTATTTCGAATTATCCAAAAGATGAAGCCAATCCGATTATTAGTTTTTCTGTTATGAGTCAACGGACTTGAAAAATACGATTTCGAGAAAAACACATTTAAAGTTTTAGATACTATTTATACACAGTTTTGTATACTTACAGTTAATTTCTGGTTAATCTGCTATTCCTGGTCCATAAAATAAATCATCTGCTTCCTCAAAAAATTCGTTTGCCTCCTCTATGTTGCTTTGGTCAGCAATAGGACTTTTTTTTGTAGCTTGAGCGATTTTTATTTCTGCTCGCGCGAGTCGCCGTTCGTCTGCGCAATCCGCAAACATTTTGCATTGTTGATCAATAATTATGCCCATTGTCTCCATAACTTTCAAAATTGTTATGAAGATTCCTCATTAAAGATTCCCGCAGCCAAATATGCACAAGATTCGATAGTTTTTGAGCCAGTATGAAGGTGTTTCGGTGCTAGATGCCAGATCATTGAATTTAAACATTCATTATTGTTTTGATTATGTCCGCCTAAACAATTAAGATTTAAAATTGCTTTAAAAGTTTTAGAGTCGCCATCACCGATGTAAGTTATATATTTGACTCCGAATTTCTCCTCCGATCTTGAAAACATTTCTTTTATTACGTCTATCTCCATTTTACCAGCAGATCCAGAATGATTAACATCGCATTCATTTTCGTGATATTCACCGATGTGAACCTGGCGCCCAACTTTATCAAAAATAAAAATTAATATCGTAGGGCGTTTGTACTTCGTTTGTACCCGTTTGTACCTCCCTTATTTTCGTTTGTACCCCAAACAGTTAAACATAAAATGAAATATAAAAAATGGCCAGCGCCCAACTTTAATATTTTTTAATTTCATTTATGCCATTCGAAAGAGAATCGTTTGTACCCGTTTGTACCTCCCTTATTTTCGTTTGTACCCCAAACAGTTAAACATAAAATGAAATATAAAAAATGGCCAGCGCCCAACTTTAATATTTTTTAATTTCATTTATGCCATTCGAAAGAGAATCGTTTGTACCCGTTTGTACCTCCCTTACTTTCGTTTGTACCTCAAAGGGTTCGGAGATACAGCGATTTCCAAATTTCGGAAATACGCCGAGAGGGGAAGTCGGCCATTTTTAAAGATATCGAAATGGGACCAACGGCATTCGAAAGAGAATCGTTTGTACCCGTTTGTACCACCCTTACTTTCGTTTGTACCTCAAAGGATTTGGAGATACAGCGATTTCAAAATTTCGGAAATGTGCCAAGGGGGGAAGTCGGCCATTTTTAAAGATATTGAAATGGGACCAATGGCATTCGAAAGAGAATCGTTTGTACCCGTTCGTACCTCCCTTACTTTCGTTTGTACTTCAAAAAGTTTGGAGATACAGCGATTTCAAAATTTTGGAAATACGCCAAAAGGGGAAGTCGGCCCTTTGAGGTACAAACGAAAGTAAGAGAGGTACAAACGGGTACAAACCATTCTCTTTCGAATGCCGTTGGTCCCGTTTCGATATCTTTAAAATTGGCGAATTTCGCTATATAGGGGTTGCGCAAAAATTGAAAAGCGTTGTATCTTCGAACCCTTTGAGGTACAAACCAAAGTAAAGGTGGTACAAACGGGTACAAACGATTCTCTTTTGAATGGCATAAATAAAATTAAAAAATATTAAAGTTGGGCGCTGGCCATTTTTTATATTTCATTTTATGTTTAACTGTTTGGGGTACAAATGAAAATAAGGGAGGTACAAACGGGTACAAACGAAGTACAAACGCCCTACGGTATTAATTTTTATTTTTGATAAAGTTGGGCGCCAGGTTCACATCGGTGAACGAATCGAATACCAAGAACGACACTAAGGGCGAAGCATTCAAGTACAAGTGCCACCGTTGTTGAAAAGTAGGTCACAAAGCGGCCGATTGCAGTGAAAACGTGAAAAGAAACGACAGTGCAAACAAGGCGAACGAGTTGAGTTTGTGCGCGATTACGATACATAACCTCGCGAATGAGACATCGGACTCACGCATCGTAAAACACGATGATAAGTAGTGTATCGATAGTGGATGCACAGCGCACCTGTGTTGAAGTGCTTCGGAATTCGTTGAGATCGCGGATAAAAATGTCGGTAAACTGAATCTTGCGAGTAACGCCACGACGGAAATTAAGGCTAAAGGAACGGTTATTATAAATACGCGAGTGCAGGGAAAAGACAAACGTGTTAACATACATGACACTCTACGTTCCTGAATTGCGAACAAATTTGCTGTCAGTCGGACAAATTTGCTGTAAGATTACGGACAAAGGTTATAAAGTAATTTTCAAGTGGAAGTCGGCTGTTGTCGTGGACAGATCGAATAACGTGATCTTA